GAAGCTGTCTTTTCACTGCTGAGTTTGCATTTGCGTGTTTATTTCCGGCTTTCCTGTTTGTTCAGCCGGTCAGAGGCTCATCTGTCACACTCTTCTCCCCCTTTACCCGCTGCTGCTTTGTATCAAGTCTATATCTCCTAGGTCATTACAACTGATTTTGTTTTTCCCTATTCCTATTCATCCTTCTGCTTTCCTCATACTTACTTTATAGTATTTTCTTTTTGTGTTGAGCACTTATTTTTTCCTTCTTTCTGACTCATTGTCTTCCTTTCTTTCTTTCTTTTTTTTTTGGAGACAGGGTCTTGCTATGCAGTTCAGGCTGGCCTTGAGCTCACTTTGTAGCCCAGGCTGGTCTCGAACTCGCAACAATCCTCTCACCTCAGCCTCCCAAGTGCTGGGATTACAGGCGTGAGCCACCACAAAAACATTTGATACTCAAGTTGCCAGTGAACCCAGCGTGGTCTCATGTTTGTGCACTGTCATTGTTGATATTTCCCTCATGCTTGTGACTGTGGCTCTCACGTCCTCCCTAGCCTGGGGACAGCAGGAGGCTGTGCTCTCCTTTTTCCACGCGGTCAGAAGTAGAATCTACTCCGGGTGAACTAATCTCAACTTTTTATATCATTGCATGTAAGATCACGGGGGATCCGTGATTTCTACTTTGGAGAAATAATGAACATTTTAGATGTTATTATAGATTATTTCTCCAAGTTTTCTATGGGTCCTATAAAAAATCTTTTTAGGATGCTGAGTTTAGTGGCCCTAAAATCAAAATTCTAAATTATACTATTGGTGAAGTACATCTTTATTTGCTTTGACTGGTAAGAGCTGGCAGAGATGTGTGAGATGTGAATTAAAATCTGGTCTCATGACCTTATTTCTGCCTATTTCTTCCATTATTGTCATTTTTGGCAGATTCTATGTTGAGGTTGGGCAATGCAGTAAAAGACATGTAAACAAAACTCACCATTTTGAATTTGACTTGATCAGTTATAAATTATGAAATCACACTGAGCCTAAGCTTGGAATTTCACACTGAATTGAGATTTTTAGTGCTACATCTTGTAGGTACTGTGTAATAGATTTTTCCCCTAAGCTGGAAGTCTTTTCCCTTTGTCAATTAGGTTTAACCAATGGATATTTTTCTTAAGCTAGTCATTTTTATGCTTAATTCTAGGTGCTTTTTATTGCTTATTTCTATATTCCTTTATTGTTCTTTTAATACTTATACAATCTGCATCCTTTTAAACAATTTGTTCGCACTTTTTTCAAGAATTTATGATACTTGAACTATGAATTTTAAGGATAAAATATAGGTTTTCATTCCCCCCTCTGAAAATGAAATCAAACATAGAGTTTGCTTTTAATAATCTTGTGTGTAATTGATACACCTGGTCTCTATTTTTCTCCACATCAGTGTTGATATTTCCCATTCCACATCTCAGCTGACAAGGACTGATGTCTGTGTTTTGCTCCGTACCCTGTGCTGTGGCCCCTCAGCAGGACCAAGTGTGAGGTTTCAGGTCTTTGTCCCTCTGTAGTGGTCTTACTCTGCCTGATGCCCAGGGCGGGACTGCTGCTTTGTCCCAGGTTTCTGGCTGTGGCACTGGAGTGTCACACTGAGGGCAGGCTTGCAAGTGCCTCTCAGGACAGGTGATGCCAAGCCTGTCTCACTGCCACCTCCCTCATGGCTGGCACATGCTCTGATCACACCCCACTTACCGCACCACAGGCTTTGTGCTGTGGTGCCCTGGACCTTTGGTTATTTTCAGAAAGCAAAAGCTGACCCATTTTTTTCCCTTCCCTTTTATAAAATGTGTTTTCTTCGCTCCAGACACTTTAGAATCCCTCCCCTTGAAGCTGCAGAACTCTCCTGATCTCTTCTGGCAACCGGCAAGGCCTTTGCCCTGTTTTCCTCCTCCTGAACCCCTGCCATTACCTCTGCCTTTGTATGTTTTGCTGCTGTGCAGGGACTTCTGAGAGAGCTTCTGTCACCCAAGCAGCCTCTCGCCCCTCATCCCTCCCAGTTCAGAGGACCCTGGTGATCAGGCTGCCACCCCAGCATCCTCTGGGCCCACCCTGCCTGGTGACTAGGCTGCTGCCCCAGCATTCTTCTGTGTCTGGAGCATCACCCTCTATTCTTCCCTTTCTTAAGTAATTTCTGTGGGATTTGAGAACTAACAAGAGGGGGCAAACAGTTGCAAGGATGAAAATAGAAGGGTGGCATGTCCCAACTGATCATGGTTTGCTGGACCTCGGTCACGTCTGCAGATCCCCCCCCCCCCCACATTTCTCTCCTGCACCTAAGCTCATTCTTCCGAGGTCTTCAGAGTTCCCACAGCATCCTAGCAGCAGCTCTGAGGGCCATGGGCTGTGGTAATCAAGCTGTAATTTTGCTCTCAGAGTGTGAAGCTGGCTTATAGGGAACCATGACAGAGCCACTAATGGAAGAGAACTCTGTGATGGAGATTGCTCTCGGGGGATGGAAGCCACAGTGGAAGTAGCCAGAAACAAAGGAGGCTGTCAGGGCATCCAGCTGTCAAGAGGCACAAGCACAGGGCCAGGGCTGCGCTGCCTGCAGTTCCGTGGCAGACACTCTTAGCAATGAAACGTCTGTTGCGTGTAAGCATTACATTGGCAAGAACAAATGTTTTGGTGTGCTTCATTAATTCACACTATGAAGCACACTATTGCTACCATATTGGGAGACCTACTTCATGCACTTCTGGCCAGTGTCTAACAGTTCCGTGTCACAACTGTTCTCCAAGCATCTATCCTCTCCATCCTAGTCCTGAGATTCATCCTAATCTTCTCCTTGTCCATGCTCTAACAGATGCTGACAGTGTATTTCTGTTTCATCTTCTTTTGGGTTTTCTTTCTCTACTATAATTTTTGTACTATTTTGAGAAGACAAATAGTTTTATTATTTTTCTGAGTTTTTCTTTCAACTCCTCATTTTCATGTTGTTCTCTGAAAGTTCACAATTGGAATGTCTGCCACATTTCAAGAGTATCACAGACAACACAACACAATTTATTTCCTTTTAGGTTACTCAAGCTGTGTGTGTTCAGTACGGATGTTGAGTGACGGTTTGGGAAAATGTTGATCTTTTGATTTCAGTCCATAGCTTTTTATTTTTAAAGGACAATGACATTTAAAAATAAGTCAGAGACCTATGGTTTGAATAAGTAATACCTTCCCATGAAATATAATTCTAAAAGTAGAAAAGATTTACCATGAAAATGTCTCCTCACCACCTGTGTCTCAGGGACTTTCCCCATCCCGGTGACCCCCGCTCCTGCTTTTTGGGTGGTGCTCACTGCTGCTGCTGGGCTGTGTCTGGCCTTTGTTGTGTGCTGTACTGACCTCTTGCACCTTAGCTGTGTATCTTAGAAACCCTGCATATCTGTAGATCTTGGGTGGCCCCCTAGGTGTGTGTTCAAGGCTTTGTCAGGTACTCTGTGGTACTTTGTCAGCAGTTGGGAGGACATCTAGGGAGAGGAGGGGTGTGATGGGAGGAGGTTAGATGGTTGAGGCATAAACTTCAAGGGAGTCTGGAGACCCGTGCCCTTCCTCTTTGCACCCTGGCTGCCATGAGGTGAACAAGCAGGCCTCTTTCGCCATAGTCTCTGGCCATGATATACTTTGTCACCACAGCTCCAACTCAACAGGGACAAACTTAGAGCCAATATAAACTCATCCTCCCTTTGAGTTGGTTCTTTTGGTTATTTGGTCACAGTGACACAAAGCTGACTGACACATATCTGCCTTTTCATTTTAGTGGCTGCATAGTATTCTGCAGGACAAATGTGACAGAAGTTAATCAGTCCCTTTAGCTGGTTTACTCATCTAAATATCCTGGGATTTCTTTCTTCGAGAGCATTCTTTGTCTTTTCTTCTAACTAGTAGTATCAATTTTGTGAGCTTTTGTTTTTATAGCTGATTAGTGTTTGAAGGCACTGTCAAATGTATCAGTCTCAATAATTTCAGATTTCTAGCTAGCACCCATGGATGGGCTCATTTTTCTGTCATTGCCATCTCATGATGAAGGTGATGGCCTTGGCGTTAGAAGACCCACCTTGTGTACTGGTGAGCTACAATTTTGCCTAAGCCTGTGAACCTTTCCCTTCAAACCTTGGAGTCTCCCTTTGAAAGTAACAACTCATGTGAAGGCCCGGGTCACCTGCAAAGAGGAACAATACCCTTTGGCCCAAGGAGTCTGGCTCTGAGGCCTCTGCTTGATGCTCTGGAAGTACATGGTAAGAGCCTGGCTGTATCACCTTCTCCTCTCAGTCCATCACACTTGTCCCATGTGGGGCAAACGCTCCCTGCTCAGCCCTAGGCCCTGGAGGACACCCTACACTCCTGCCCTTTCCTTGTCAGACAGTGCTCAGCATAGTCAGTTCTTCCCTAGAACTTTGATGGAACCTCTCCCTTCCTTGATGCCCCTGTGGTCTGTAGAGGTGAGGAAAAGGCCACCTCCTTGCTGCAGCTGAAGAACCAGCCCGAGGGAGAGTCTGGGTGTGGGGCCTGGCTGAGTGCTAGATACTCTGTCCGATCCCAGAAACACTACTGCTCACACATCCTCTATAAAAAATATCCTCTGAATCTAGACAAAGGTGAAATATCTACTAAGCAGGAAGAATGCCCAATAACCCTGGGCATTCACAGCTCACGGCAAGGAAAACAACAGGGCAAGACTTGTGTGGACAGATCCCTGAGGGGTCCAGATTGTAAACTGAACTTCAGTTTCACAGTCACCCTGGCACACTGATGAGAGTGGGCTGTGGGTGTGGGGCTCAAATCCCAAGCACAGAGAGTGGTAGAACCTGCACATATCATGTCAGAGGCATCACAGTAGATTTATCGTTCTTTCCTGCAACTCATGGGAGCCAGGTGGGCATCGCAGGCCAAAGCTCACCTGCAGGTCTTGCTCTGCATTCTCCCCTCTGCGTTGCATCTGTCACCCTTGCTCGCTGATCTTCTGCAGGTGCAGGAAGATGAGGGGGGAGAATGTCACCAGGGTCAGCACCTTTATCCTGCTGGGCTTCCCCACGGCCCCTAGCCTGCAGTACGCACTCTTCCTCCTCTTCCTGCTCACCTACCTCTTTGTCCTGGTGGAGAACTCGGCCATCATACTCACTGTCTGGACCAGTGCCACCCTCCACAGGCCCATGTACTACTTCCTGGGCATCATGTCAACCTTAGAGATCTGGTATGTGTGTGACATCATTCCTAAGATGCTGGATGGCTTCCTGCTGCAGCACAAGCGCATCTCATTTGTGGGGTGCATGACTCAGCTCTACTTCTTCAGCTCCCTGGTGTGCACTGAGTGCGTGCTTCTGGCCTCCATGGCTTATGACCGCTATGTGGCCATCTGCCACCCACTGCGCTACCAAGTCATCATGACCACGGAGCTGTGTGTGCAGCTCGTGGTCTTCTCCTTCGCCAGCGGCTTCACCATCTCTGTGATCAAGGTCTACTTCATCTCCAGTGCCACGTTCTGTGGCTCCAATGTCTTGAACCACTTCTTCTGTGACATTTCCCCCATCCTCAAGCTGGCCTGCACAGACTTCTCCACTGCAGAGCTGGTGGATTTCATCCTGGCCTTCCTTATCTTGGTGTTCCCGCTGCTGGCCACCATTCTCTCCTATGGACACATTGGGCTGGCTGTGCTCCGCATCCCCTCGGCCACGGGCCGCTGGAGAGCCTTCTCCACCTGCGCCTCCCACCTCACTGTCGTCACCATCTTCTACACAGCTTTGCTTTTCATGTATGTCCGACCCCAGGCCATCGATACTCGGAGCTCCAACAAGCTCATTTCTGTTCTATACACCATCCTCACGCCCATTTTGAACCCTTTGATCTACTGCTTGAGGAATAAAGAATTTAAGGATGCCTTGAGAAGGACTCTGGGCTTGTGCCAAGCTCCACAGTAGGTGCAAATACGTTCTGCACTTCTGGAACAACACTGGGAACCGTGCAGCCTCTCTGGTCAGGTTGTACTACTTCCTCTATGGAAATTCCTTGGATGGCTGTAATGCTGCATTGATTTGAAAAATTACTTCCACATTTCTTGTTCTGCTTCAGTTCATGGAGGTTAATATCATAGGTGTGACTGGTGTTATGAATCCATGATTTTCTTTGTTTTGTATACAAGCTAAACACAACTTGGCAAACTTCAACAAAATCCTCACCTTTAAAATGACCATGCATTTTTATTTTTTTTATTTATTTATTTTTATTTAAAGAAAAGGAAACAAAAAATACATGGAAATAAAAAAGGTAGAAATAATACAAAATTACAGAAAAATAAATGGTAAGAAATGGCTGGTTGGTAAGTTACATATTGTCATCTTAGAAATAGCTGCTCAGGTTACAGAATTAAAGTATTTAGAATGACATTCAAAAAGACCCTACAAACAGTTCTGCTCAATGATCGAACAAAAGCTCAGTAATATGGTTATCAGTCCTACACATTTGTTTTACATCTCAAGGAGGGTAAAATTAAACATATCAAAACAGAACAAAACAGTTAAAAAAACATTTTAAAGAAATACAGATTTCAAAGCAAGTCCACTGGAGATCTTCACTGTCTATCTAACTGTCGCCAGTTTCTTACAAATAGTTGTCCCCATCTTCACCCACTTTATATACTTATTGTATATTATAGAACTAATCAAATCATTACAGGATGATGAAGGCTTTTTAGGTCTTCAAGATCTAACATTAGGAAAGACAATAATAACCACCATCGCATCTCTCATTCTCTTTGTGATAGCTGTTCCCATCTCTACATATGCTGAAACTGAACTCAAGAAACCAGTCCAATGTCATTCTAATCAGCGAACAATAGTATTTCTAGAATTTATATCATAATACTACAAAATTAGCCTCGGGTTTCTTAGCGTCTCTTCTTCAGAGTATCTGTTCATTACATCTTGCATTGTATAATCTGTTCCTGTAAATAATTTTAAAAAAAAACTCATGTGTGAATTTCTACATATATATCTATCCTCTCTGTATTATAGGGAAAACCAAGTCGTAGCAAGACAGCAAAACAATTTCCTAGAAAAACATGCAATGGATGAGACATATAAGACCACAGTATAGATGATCTTCCATAGTTACTATGTTTTCTCTTGTTATTTTCAATAGATTTGTCCACAACACTGGCTTATTATAGTTAAACATAGTATTACCTATTTTTATAAAAACTTAACTTTGAAAGCATTGTAGGATTTGAGAGCTGTTAATAGTTAATACCAGTATGGATATCCTTTACATCTTGTCATCCTCAGAGTAGTTGCCTCTACTTTTAGTGTTGATACTAACAAGCATACCAAATTCAAATAAAATCAGCCAAGGCCAACCCATAGTCTTATGATTCAGATTCAATTAAAATCAGTCATAGTAAGACAATGTAAGTAATACAGGATTTCAGTTTAAGTTAATAGGAAAGTAAGGATAGTTACCATGGTATAACCTGCTAGTTTTGGGTCAAGATGTCTGTGCCCTCAAATCTGACATGAGTGGACAAACCAGAACAAATTAAATTCAAACTAAATATGGCGATAAGACTACTGTGTCTTTTAAATCCTTATACACCATTAACAATGACCTCTGCCTCTTTTTTTATAGTGTTTCAGAGCTGTCTATACTAAAGACTATAGCTTACCGTCTCTGCCTCATGTCTGCTACTCCACTTTTCTGCTATAATTTGTCCATCTTATTCCCTCATTCCACTGTCTGCCCCATTCATTGAGGCCTCTCTGCTACTGTTGCTGGAATCCTGGTATCCCTTCCTCTCTTTCTCTGTAATGTCCTTCAGCATTCTCTGTAGGGTTGGATTGGTGGCCACGAACTCCCACAGTTCCTCCTTGTCTTGGAAGCATCTTATTTCTCCATTAATTTTGAGAGAGAGTTTTGATGGGTATATGAGCTTTGGTTGCATATTATTTTCTTTCAGGACTTGGAATATTTCTCCCCACTCCCTTCTTGACTTAAGAGTTTGTGTTGATAAGTCTGCTGTTATTTTGATAATTTTCCCGTTGTAGGTAATCTGCATCTTTTCTCTGGCTGCTTTTAATATTCTGTTCTTTTGGTGGATTTCTGGAATCTTGATTATTATATGTCTAGGCGTAGATCTTTTTTGGTTGTAGGTAGCTGGTGTTCTGTATGCCTCTTTTATCTGGATATCATTTCTTTTTGCTATACATGGGAAATTTTGCTTTAATATATCTGTGAATATTCTTTGTATTTCATTTTTGGTTGCTCCTGCTTCCTCACTCACATTCTTTATTCTTAAGTTATGTATCTTTTTGTCATCTTCTAGTTTTTGAATTGTTTCTTTCTGGTTCCTTGTTATTCTTAAGAGGCTTTTTCTTTCATGATCATATGCCATAAATCTCTCTTCAAGTTTCAGAAGGCTGTCTTTAGTTTCTGTCAAGGCATTTTGCCAGTGTTCAATGGAGTTTTTAGTTTCCAGGCAATCTCTTTGGATCTGTTTCATGTATTCTAAGTTATGTTTAAATTCTTCTTCAGAAGTTTCTCTTTCTTTTCTGATTTCCTCAGTTCTTCCATCTGTGTTTTCTTGGGCGGGGCTTGTCATTTCTTTAATTAATCTCTTTATATCTTGCCTCACTTGGATCAGGAGTACAGCTTTAAATTCATCTATGAAGTCATGAAGGTATTTTTAAATTTTGGCTGATGTTATGTCGAGTATTGGATGGTTTCTGTGCTTGTTCTCTTCAGTGTTTACTTCTCCTGGGCTTATTTTCTCATGTTGGGCAGTTGGAGATTTTTTTAAATTTTTATCTCTTGTCATGTTTCTGGTTTCTTCCAGACTGGAGTGTCCTGGGGGTTCCTGGCCCTCTCCATATTGCTTAGGGCCTTTCAGAAGCATGCTGACTTGAGTTTTTGCCGTCCTCCCCAATTTGCTGTTATCTGGGGTAGGCTGGGATGCAGGGGCGGTACAGGCTAGCCTCCAGCCTCTGTGCCAGTCAATCCGTAAATTAGGCTGTACTTTCTGGATGTCACTGAGTTGTGACTATTTTGTATCTGCTTATTGGGCCCCAAGCAGAGGCTTGGTTTAGCCCCAGTAGCTCCTGCCAGTTCTCTCTGTACCAGAAGCAGCTGACTAATGTCACTATGGCACAGGTTTCTGCCCAAATCCCAGCTGTTCTCTTCCAGACCTCTCTGTGACAGGAGCACCAGGACAGCAGGTCTGCCCAAATCCAAGATGTCTACCACTAGTTCTCTGTATGACACTGAAGCCAGCACGGCATCAGGCTCTGCCCAATTTCAAGATGTCTTCCACCAGACCTCCCTACAGGGGGGCTCAGTGATATCACCGAGCTATAGGTTCTGCCCAACTCTAAGATATCTGCTGCCAGACTCTCTGTGTTATTGATGTCCCCGTGGTGGCGGGCACTGCCCAGTTCCAAGATGTTCTCTGGCCAACCCCAGTAGCTGCGGGGTCCCCAGTACTCACCAGGTTTCGGTGCAGGTCCTCCTCTTGGGTCTGCCGCACACCACGCCGCTCGCCCTCCCTGTGCTCTTGGCACAGCATGAAATGGTCAGAAAACTGCACAGCGTTCAGCTTCGAAGCTCCAGAGCCTTTCACAATCTCCTCTGGTGCAGCGGGGCGGTCCTGGCTGCTTCTTGGGGTCCCAGGTCTCAGTTTCCAGCAGTCACCAAAAGCCAACACAGCTTTTCCTGTTGGGTTCACGGGTCAGTTTGCTGATTTAAAGGCGCGGGATTTGCAGCCTCCCATTATCAGCCTTCACAGTCTCAGCACGACTTTAAATCCTCCAGCTGCGCTGTCTTGGTTAATAAGAATCGTTATCCATTCGTCTGGCCTTCTCCATGTTGCCATATTCTAGCTTCTAATATGATTTCTCTGGAGAGACTCTCCGCCCAATCCCCTAGCAAGCCACCATTTTTCCCTCTCCCCAGACCATGCATTTTTAGAAGACAGCAAAATATGTTAATCCTCGGTACATTTCATTGCCTTTAAGTGCTGGGATAATGATCCATGTGACAAAATAAGCACCAAGAGCCCCCAAAGCAACATGTGTCTGGAAACTGTAAGAGCACATAAACCCTGGTTTCAAACACGTAAGTCAAGCTCCCCGGCAGTTCTCAGAAAGGGATGCATCTCCCTTTCTCTCTCTCTTAAAGCGGGTGAGCTGTTGAGAGTGTTTTATCACTAAGAGGATCTTGGCTGGCCTTGAAGGCAAAAAGATTCCCTAGCAGATGGGGACCATATCTTTTCCTGTTCCGTGTCAGACCTTTGAAGTCAGCACAGTGCCTAGTGACCCATGTTAAACTGGAAGACAAGTTTTAAGTATGACAACAGGTGATATGCAGAGTAGAATTATGCACAGGACCATAATTCTCTTGCTGAGGCAAAAGGAGAGAAAGTATCACACCCAGCAGGGCAACATGGATGGGGTGACATTTATTTGTTAAAACAGGAATGAGTCAGTCCCCTAAAAGCAGTTGCAGCAATACCAGAACCCAGAAGTGGGAAGCTGCACAAAACAGTGAAGACTAAAGATGTGCTGGCATGGTTGAAACCTGATGGCTGCAGGGAGATGAGAGTTTGGGGAAGCCAGAGTACAAGACCTGGAGACAGACAGGCAAAAAGGGTGTCAGCCCCAAACATTCACAGGGGCTGGAAGACAGCATGATTTTGTCCAGTACTTAACAGAGAGGGCTAGGGGAGTTAGGAGTCCTGCCAACCCATCTGGAGCTGTGTGCAACATGGGTAGAGGACATAATGGGAGATGGGAGGACAGGGGAGGAGGATGTTTGGTTGTCTAGGTGAGGGATGTGCACTGTCTGAAGTCCTAGGCACAGGAGTGGGATGGAGTGGCCAGGGTTCAGTCAAGAACTCTCTGGGTGTTCAAGAAAGGGGAGAGAAGGAAAGGGCTGA